GTTAAAAAAGAAGAGAAGAAACTTTGATTATATTTTAATTTTGTAACCGCAGTAGGTGTAGCTCACTAGAATCGATATATGATTAGACCAGTTAAGTTTGGTATTTGTATGTAGCAACCTGCCCTAGCTGAATTTTTTGGCTGGGCCCGCTAATGTCAGTTCTGCTCTCTGAATAAAGAACTACCTAAACTAAGGATGCCATGGTTTCATATGGTTAGAATCCCCATAAAAAACTGAATTAACAGTATACTAGCGAATGAGTTCTAGCTAGCTTGTGTCCCAGCATTTTGATTCTCACAAGAATCTGATGAACACTGCACCAAACAGTGAGATGCTTTTGAGATGCTCCTAGCCACGTGAGATGCTTTTGAGCTTCACGTTGGTGTTTCTTCATTTTACTGATTCTTTGATTTTTGTTTACAGTATGTGTGTGTGGTCCAGACTGAAGAACAAAGCCATTTTTTTACAGATTCTTTCAATGGCTATTTGCCTTTGTAAAAGCATTTTGTGCTAATTATGTTATCTTGTTTGGCTCCATTTGTTTCGACAGAAAATATTTTGGCCAATGTACTTTGCATGATGGTAAAGGCACAATGCATTTACAGTGCTAATGCTAGACATCTATTGGTTGATTTAACTTGCCTGTTAATGAAAATTAGTAAAATTATTTGAGAAAAAAATAGAAGATTATGTGAGCATAGGTAGCTTGTTTTTGAATAATATTATTTTAGTTCCCTTTTACAATATTAGACCTACTGTGACTGCAGTTTCATAACATGATGTTTGATGTGTGTAGGACTGCAGGTAGCAGCTGTCTACTAGGTGCTAATATAACACCTTCAATGTACAACAAGGTAAATAGTACAAACCTATGGCTATTTACAGGCACTATGGCTATTTATCTTGCTCCATTTCATTAGTATAGACCTATAGCTAGCATCTAGCATTCATGTGGACACTGAAGCTAGCGGTTTTCTTTTTTGTTCAGACTTAAACGGTTGGATTGTGGTAAATGAAGGCAGCTAAATTAAAACAAATAAAAATATATTTATGATGTTACGCCTCAGAATTAATTAATTATATTGAAGTTGGAGATATGGCATGACATGATCTTGCTTTTTTTTGCTGAAGTAGAAATTTCAACAGTTTCCTTTTGTTATTATAGTCATACATGAGTCCCTGATGCTTTGTATTCAATACTTAAACATCTCAGGTGTGTCGAGTTCATTCCGTTGAGCAAGAAGTGCAAACCTCATCATTGATCATAACAAAGCTGCTTCATTAACAACACAACGAGGTGCAGACTAGCTGCATCGTCGTCCTCTCATTGCTTGCATCCAACAAATTCAAGCCTTGCAGGTACACACTCAATACTAGTTAGTATTCATGGTTGTCACTTTATGAGTTTACTGCAACCTCTATTACATATTGGTTGCTTTTACTCTGTATTAGCATTGAAGTTTTAGCTTCCTTAACGGTGTCAGATGGATCAAGTCAGCAATGCATCATGGTTGGCTGCTAATATGATGTCATGTACCGTTTGAGCATTGTGCTAGATTGTAGACAAGTCTGTAGTGCAGGGCAACACCAAAAGCACTTTCATTTATCTGCTCTTGACTTTATTTGAGAATCTATTTTGTTCAGACTAGTAGTGGAGAACTGAAAGTTATGTGAGTCTGCACATCCACAGAAACAAAGTGATATCTGCTTAGTCATTTGCACCCTTTGATCTGATTACTTTTTTGGGACATGATCTCATCCTTGGAAGATGATGCTTTTGCTAGACAGAGGAACATGGTGTTCCATCGTACATTATATCGTAAACAAAAAAAACTTGTGGTTTCTATGTTCGAAACTAATGCATGCATCTCTATGTTCATGTTCTGTTACACTAGGCCTCCACATTTATTCTTCTGTGGATATCTACTGTTTTTTATTTCTACTTGTGTTGCTTGCTCAATGTCGAAATGGAAATAACAACAGAATTTCTGCACTACCATGATAGTATCCTAAGCGGGTCTCCTATGCATGCCCAACCATGAATTTTTTATTTGTTCACATACTCAAATACATACCATTTGTTTATTTTTAAAAAAAATAGATATTCTTTGGCCAAGTGGAAATAAAATGTAGCTGTTAGTTGATCTCAATTCTAATTGCTATTTGTTATGAAATACTGTAGTGTAAACATGGGCACCCTCCCAGCCCTTGGCCACCGGTGCTACTCGAAATCTCGCCCACTGTCCCTACACCAGCCTGCTAGCATGCAGAGGCCTACAGTAGGCGCCCCCTGCATCAGTGATTCCTCCCCAATCCTGACCCCAACCATAATGAAAGAAGCGGCCAGAACGGCAGGCGGCTGAAGCTGCATGGCAGGCAGCTGAAGCGGCAATGCTCCAACTCCAAGGTATGATCTGCTCAATATTAGGGAGTACAATGCATGGATGCGCCTTCATTCTGTACCAGTGGGTCAGGCCTTGGCTTTGAAGAATATAGTGGGAGATAATGCTTCTCACTGCCATTAGAGCCTGCTTAGCTGCACTCTTTGTAGCGCTGTGCAGCAACTTCTGCTACAAAATACTGTAAAGTGGCAAAATGTGGTGCACAAGCAAGCAGCTGCAGCCCTGCGAAGAAGTGCAGCCGAGCAGGTTCATACTCTTGGTTAGTCTTTTTGAACCTCCATGCAGACAGTATTTATATGAACATTTGTATATGTTGCAGACTTGTAGCTAGTGCTTCATGTAGCTTCATGTCTTTTTGGTAACTTCATGTTGTAAATGAGCAGATTCTTGCAACATATATGAGATAATAAGACCTAATATGATTTTTCAGCATGTGTCCTTCAGCCTAAATTCACACTTGACTTCGTATCTTTTTCCTTCATCTGTGATCAGTTACCAAAATTTCTGATTACTGAACTTCTGCTTCTAAAGCTAAGAAGCAAGGCATCAAATTCTTCTCAACTAGCAGCAGCAATTCAGTATGAAGGTATATCAGTAGGTTTTGAGCCCTTTTTTGCATTGTTTAATTTGTTGAAGTAATTTCATGTTATCTTTTGACATATTTCCTTATGATAAAATAAGCTCAATTTGATATTTGTACTGGTTCTTCATAGATGAGGCCTTCAAGTTTTCCCCAAGTACGAAATCTACATACACATTATTTAAAATCCAATTAATTTAACAAAAAATGAAGCATAGTAACTTTACCTGATCATGGATCTATGTTAACATATTACTGATTGCATGTTAGGTTTTGGTTTCAGGGTCTGCTACGGTGGTTTGTGGATGATTTGCCACTCAAAGCTGATTTAGGTGAATCAATGTTTCATGTTTGTAATGGCTGATCATATATGTATGTCTCAGTGAGTGTTTGGACTTGGTCATGAATGAATCTATTTGTATGAGAAACGTGCACAATGATGTTACTTTTGTATTAATTTGCAACCAAATGGCCTTTTATTTTTTTAAATGCATTTAAATGATCTCGTCGAACCATCAGTCGCTAAAAGCATTTATAATGTCAAATTATATGTCGCTATAGAGTACTGGCAGGCCATCTGTCGCTATAGAGTACTGGCAGGCCATCTGTCGCTATAAATATTCAGGGCAACAGACCATTTTGTCGGTTAAAGTGCTGTCTGTCGGTAAAGGTTTTTAACGACAGCACTTACACCATCTCCAGAAGTTTGTCGCTATAACTTTTTAGCGACAGATCACCTGTCTCTGTATCCGCTTTTAGCGTCAAATCATCCATTGCCAATCTCGGTGTTGTGGTGTAGTGTTACCTTGCGGCTGCCATGGCTGCGGCAGTAGAGCACGAAGAGGAGTGGGGCTATAAGTGATAGGCCGGAGCAGTAGGTGCCAGGCGTCGAATTCCTCCATTGCTGCGGCGACCTCTTGGGTGTGTGGTGTGGTGCATGGTGCAGCTCTCTTGACTCTGGCCGTTGCGCGCCATCTTGTAGTTAGTTGTAGCTCTAGCAGTATTTGGATTCTATCTCAAACATTTTTTTAGTTATCTTAGTGTGGAAGCATACATATATTATTATCTTGACTAGGCTTTAAGATATGAAACACCGATTGTTTTGTTTGTTCATGAAACTCATCGACACGTAACGTAACCTCTTTCATCCATGAGATGGGGTGAATAAGTCAATATGTATAGAACGATGCTTACGTAATGAGTGCCGAGAACTTGAGCGTTTTAGACGACAGTTGGATCAAGATCCAACACTCCATCTCTTTTCATCTACCTTTGCATTTCTCATTCATGGCGTCTCTAGCTCCACGCGACGCCCCCGCCTGCCCGCCTTCTCTTACGGCACCCCAGTGTCGATCTGCCTCCAACTCCACCTTCATCGCCACGCTAACTCAGCTTCGCTATGAAACCACCATGACACCTTGTCCTTACCTGTCCAATAGCCTTCCTCCACTCATCGGTCTTTGACATCACTGCTGCCTTGCCTTGCCGCCCTTGCAACCCGCCACCACCACCGATCTAGCCTTCATCATTTTCTAAAATCTCCTCCTATAAGCCTGTCAAAGTTGGAGAAGAAGTGTGTGACGGGCCACCCACCCATGTAAGAGCTTCAATCAAGACGTGATATAGATTTAATTTTGTGGTTTGCTCGTAGTAACTCATAAAATTAAGTCTATATACGGGTTCATGGGCTAGCCCGCTTCGTCCCTAGCTCCAAAACAAATTACCTGGTATTTAGCATTTCTCTGCGTAATATACTTCGATGCAATTAAGCCACACCTCTGAATTGCGTCATAAGATGGAGACTAACGTTTTCCTTGATAAAGTGACGGGGACTTTTGTTGACACTCATTCCGATGCAAATCTCATGACAAAAAGAAAATGTTGCATCGACTTTCGATTGCGCCATGATTATACTATATATTATCACATAAGGCATGATAACAGTAAAAAAAGGTTATCGGCAGTCACCGATAAGCACGATTCAGCAGAGACATAGAGACTGATATTTTTTTTGCAAGTCAACCGCTCTTAGTCCTCGGACTGATGCGAGCACGGAGCGGGTGCTTCATGACCATGGTGAAATCCAGCGTTTCCGTGATGTCGACGGTGGCCAACCCGTCCGCTGGCGGCAGCCACTGCATCTCCCTGACGAGGCTCGCCACGAAGAACTCCACCTGCAGCATCCCGAGCTTGTACCCGGGGCACATCCGGCGGCCAGCGCCGAAGGGCATCATCTTGATCTCCCTGCTTCCCGTCACGTCGACGCCGCTGCCCTCGCCGCCGTCCAGGAACCGCTCCGGCCGGAACTCCAGCGGCCTCGTCCACGTCGCCTGGTCGCGGCCCATCTCGGCGACCAGGAAGTTCACCTCCGCGCCCCTGGGCACCGCGTACCCGCCGATCTCCGCGGCGTCGTCGTCGCCCCGCACGCCGTGTGGCAGGAGGAAGTGCGCCGGCGAGTGCAGGCGGAGGCCCTCGAGCACCACGGCCTTCAGGTACGGCGTCTTCTGGAGGTCACCGTCGCTGAACTCCGCCGTCTTGTCCTTGACATCCTCGTACACCTTGGCCTGGACGTCGGGGTTGTTGACGAGCTCCGCCATGATCCACTCCAGCAGCGTCAGCGTCGTGTCCGTGCCGGCGTTGAGGAACTCCGAGCAGAGGCTGACCAGCTCGGCGTCCGAGAGCGGGCGGTCGCCCTCGTCGGCAACGCGCAGCGTGAGAAGGGAGTCCGCGTAGCATGGAGGGTCGTCGGCGTCGGCGCGGCGCGCACCGCCGGCCCTGGCGCGGATGAGCGGGAGGAAGACCTCCTGCTGCCGCCGGTGCAGAGCGACGTACGCCGCCCACCGCTTGCTGAAGATCTTCTTGGTGAGAGCCGGGAAGAAGGCGAAGACGGGAAAGCTGGTTAAGGAGCGGAGGAGCCGGAGCTGGAGGTCCTCGATCTCGTCGAGCGCCGCCGCGCTGAGGCTGCTGGCGCCGAGGCTCATATACACGAGCAGCTCGAACAAGGCGCGTCTAAACAGGGGCCTCACCTCGACCGCAGCGCCGCCGGCGCGCGCGCGGAGGAGGAGGTCGTCCACAAGCGCGTCGCGCACCCGGCGCCTGGCTGGCGCGAAGAGGCCGACGCGAGCCGGGTGCAGCGCCTCGGCGGCGAGGTTGCGGCGGAGGAGGCGCCAGTAGGGCCCGTAGGGGAGCTGCTGACGTCGCGCGCGCCGGCGGTGAAGAGGCGGCCCGGGTCGACGAGGGGCGGGCGGTCGGCGAAGGTGGCCCCGCCCTGCACCAGCGCCCGGTGCGCCAGGCGGCGGTCGGCGACGAAGACGAGCGTTCGGAAGATGCAGACAGAGATTACGGGCCCGTGGCGCGCGTGCAGGTCGCGTAGGAGAGGGCCCAGGTCGAAGATGGAGCGGCGCAGCGTTAGGAACTTGGCTAGGAAGACCAGCGCCGGCGGGCCGGGAGGGAGCTGCGGCTGGTGTCCCTTGCTCTCTGGCGCTGGGTTCTTGCCGGCTCGGGCGTGGCGGAGCAAGAAGAGGAGCGCGGCGGCTACGAGTGCGAGGAGGGTGTAGAGGACGAGCGGCGGCGAGGTGGTGGAGGTCTCCGTCTCCATGGCTGTTGGCTGCACTTGCTGTTGCTATCGGAGCTAGGTTCCCGTGTGCGCTTAGCTTGCTTGAGACTTATCGGCTTATCGCGCGCGTTCAACTCTATGGAGTGTGTACGTGGTACACTATAATATACGGTCATACGGATGTATCGAAGTTTGAAAAATTGCAAGTCGAGCCAGTGGACGAGTGTTCAGAGTTTTACTATCATATCTAGATTGTTTTACGTACTCCACGTGACTAACAGCAGACCAAGATGCAACATTATATTTAATATCTGTTTGAATCTATTAGCACTAAAAATTATCAGCTAAAATTAGTACTAGTAGATTTAAACAGACATACTAATAAACCTGCTAATTATTATCTAAAATGCTATTAACTATTAGTTTCATTAGGCCAGGTACAACGCCCGGCGCTTGGGCGGCGCTAATCAGTGATTCTGCATTTTTTTTTTGCCACCGTGGACATGCGGCCAGGCACTTAGCAGTGGCATGGATGCTCAAATAAGCAGCCGGCGCTTGGTGATTTTATAGTTTAAAAAGTCACGGTTTTAAGGATGGATAAGCACATTAGCATGTAAGTTTAGCTTTTTTCATTGTAGGCTAAGGCTCTTAGACAATTGTTTGATTACTCTCTTTCTTTAAGAGCCCATTTAAGCGTTCACGGATTGTACATACCCTTAGCAGATTTGGAGTTGTTAATCGGTGCTAATAGTTTATATACATCTTCAACTCACTACCCAACCACTTATTAGTAGGTGGATCCAAACAACCTCCTACTTACAATTAGTAACTATTAGCTATTAGCATCTCCAATAGTTTCTAAAAAGAGCTTTGTTATGGTTCTCTCAAATGACCGTGAGCCGTTCATTTAATTAGATTAGACGATTAAAATCATCTATTACCTTTTAAGAGATAATAGGTGAAATATACATTTATTTAATTTCTAAATTTTGTAAATTAGGATAAATAAGGAAAGTTTAAGATATGAAGATCCTTTCTTTAGATCTAATGATGTATACTTGATCTAGCATGTATCTAATAAATGTATTGTTTACACAATTGTATTGTTTCTTCTACACCTAATTATGGTTGTAATTAGCTCATATTAGCAAACATTCATATAAATTTGATTCCCAAATTAATTTCACAAGAATTCATCAATGCCATGCAAAACTATATTTTAAAGAGTATAAGCATTCAACAAATATATAGAGAGTGACACTATATTATTCACAACAAAAAAGAAAGGTACTAGAATACTAGGAACATACCTACACAAAGTGTTGAAGCAACAATGAATTGATCTCAGAGCGGGTTGCCAAATTAATGGACTCCCAACACCAAACTGTCCTATGCACTAAGATACTAGATATATGTGACAGCATCCATCCACCAATATCCTAGAGTTTAGTTCAAATGACTAAGGTCCAGATATTCTTGGGTTGTTTAAAGAGGAGAACAATGTCATTTTTTATGCCGTTACAAACTGACTAGCCAGTACACAGCCCAAATGGCAACCTTTATGTACTCCAATGCTATTATTGCCTTACTAGATGCATGTTTACCATCTTATGTTCCTCATGAGAAGAATGATGAGTGATGTCAGATGTCTTTTTCTCAAGTCTAAGATTTTTTTTTCATTCAATTCTTTCTTCTACACCAGGTTATGGTGATAATTAGTCTCTCATTTTAGCAAACATTCATATAAATTCAATCCCCGACACTACAAGAGATGTGAGGGTTTATGACCATTACTCTTTGTCATAATATATGGAATTTATGTCACATATTAGCACTTGTGACACTCGCATGACGAAAAAGCTGGTGTCAAAAACCATGCGCCTTAAACCATGTTTTGTGACGTTTATATGTTCAAGTCATAAATCTATGACATTGGTTATGATATCACAAAGTTTTATGACAACAGGTTTTACGTCACTCTAGTACACCAGCCCACGTAGTAGGCAGGCTTGTAATGGGCCAAGCCCATTATTGATGCTGATTTTTGGCCTAGCCCAATTTTGGTATTGAGGTTTGTCAGCCCATTTCTCAATTGCATGATTTTGGCCCAATCCAACTTGGTTAGGCTGAGCCCACGCAACGTTTTTGGGCCAGCCCACATTCTTTTTATCTTTGGGCTATTCATCTTAGGCCAGTCGATTATTTTATGCAGGCCCATAACTCATTTTTTATTTTTTTAAATCATTTTTTATTTCAGTCCAGCCCAACCAATACTTTTCAGCTCAGCCCACACAACATTTTCTGGGCCGACCCACGTAACTAAATTCTAGGTCAGCGCAAGCAGCAATTTTTCTGGGGGGCCATTTTCAAAACATAGACTAATCAATTTCAAAACAAAAAAGGCCAACAGCATATGCATATCTATAACATAAACGTACAGATGTCTTACATCAATGATCAATATCATTACAATGATTGACAAATTCAAATCAACTAGATTCAAATCCGGAATAGAAGAGACCAACATAAGGTTGAACCTTAATACAGACTATCGTCCAGCATCTCAGGTCTGGTTGCTATTCAAGAGCTTACCAAAATCATAGAAAAAGCTCAAGTTCACCAACCCTGACAACCATTCCAGTGTTCTTGCTTCCTGCACACGAGTGAAAAATCAGACGTTAGCACATGTGGTCATGAGAGTACAGGTGCGCAGCAAAATTCTTACATGCTTTCCCAATGCAAAAAAAAAAAAAACTAAAAGCAGAGATATATTAATGTGACTTAGGTATAATAATATAACCCCAATAGCACATAATTCATTTGCTTATTTTATGCTATCAGTACACAACCAGGAAACAATTTAAGCACTGTTAGCTGCAGCAAACAATCAAAACTTCACTTGATGTGCAAACAATTCTTCTTAGTATTCCCAAGAAGCTCATTCAAATTGACCCCTTAAATAAAAATAAAAAAGGTACCATCAGTGGTGTATAACTTCAAAATAGTTACAGTTTGACTGTACTAGTTAGCTCCTAAAAGTCCAGAAAAATTTGTGCAGAGACTTCTTCAGAAGGTCATAATGCACCCTGTCATACACCTGATGGCATGCTTAAAAGTGTTACTGGAGATATAGAATAGTGATAATTTTTATATAACAGAATATTGCATTAGCAGCCAAACAGAATAGTGCACTTGTTCTATGAAAAATCTCAAAGTTAAACATTTTGAACACAAACTATAAAACATACAGTGATACAGAGTAGTTACTGGTTGCAGGGGTCATCTAATTCGAAATCTCATCAGTTTCCTTATCAACCTCAGAAAATCACTTCATAACCAATTCTCTTAGCAAAAGCAAACTGCATACATAGCAAATAACAAATCTAAACTGGGCAGGTTGCCACAAGAACCACGGACCTGTCTACTGTTGAAAACTAAAAAGCATATGACTGAGCACAGATTTTAATATATGCTACTGATTGTGTCTATTATATCACAGCTTGCAATGACAGCCAATCATGGGTATATCACATTACATTTGGTATGCTGCACATGCATATCACAAACTGTATCTTGCAACAGAGAGAAGTGTTCACTGACTAAAAAAATTCCATCTCTATTGTTCACTGACGGAAAATATCAAACAATTGTACTTCACATAACTGAAAGGCAATATCAAACTGACAATACTAAGTTCAGATTGAGTTAAGCTTCGCCAAGATTTTGCAAATATTTCATCATCAAATAAAAAAACATAGATCTAGGACTGGGAGAAAGGGGTATTACTTAGGCAAGACTTCTGCATTCAGACTTGGAGGCGTCCGAGCTAGGTGTGTTTGTCTTCTATGCGCGCAGTACACGAAGGCCTCCACCTGGGAGCAACCGCCGTCAAGCTCATCCAGCCAGTGGACGCTCACACATAGCAGCCAAACCTAGGTCAGAAATGGAGTCAATTTGAGAGAAAGAAAGAAAAAAGGAATGGAGTGAGGGAGTAATGGAGGGTGAACGCACGCCACCGGGTCGGAGAAGGAGTGCGCACCGCCAGAGATGTAGCACACGCGGGAAATGCCATCGTCCCCTCGCTGGATCTGCCACCGTCGTGGAGCTCGATGGGGAGACAGAGGCCGAGCTCGATGGCCGCTTGCGCTGAACGCCCTTCGCGCTGGTCGCGCCGCCGACCTCACCGGACGCCTGCGCTTAGCGCCCTTCGTGGTCGCACATCTGAAATGGGGGCGCGAATATGAGAGGTGGGGAGGGCAACGCCGACTGCGAGTGCTCACTACCCTCCGGCCAGACCACGCCGCCGGCTGCCTCTCACCACCTGCGAGTGGGTGCTGGCGTTGAATAGGAGTAGGAGGATCGAGCGGACGATGCCGCTTACGCCCAATTCGTTTTATCAGGAACGACTGGCAGGAAGAGTTCCAGGTCCGAATCACTATTTAATTTCTATAAGCTTTCAATAGATAGAATAATTCCTGGCGTGGTTTTGCCCGAACCGAACGGGCCCTTAGGCCTGGATTAGATTGGGGTTAGGAATTAGTATTTGGTACTGTAGCACTTTCATTTGTATTTGACAATTATTATTTAATCATGGTCTAATTAGATTCAAAAGATTCGTCTCATAATTTACAATCAAACTATGTAATTAGTTATTTTTTTATCTACATTTAATACTCTATGCATGTGTCCGAAGATTTGATGTGATGAAGAGAAAGTGAAAAAACTTACAATCTAAAAAAGGCCTTAGGGCTCGTTCGTTTAGAGTAGTTACTGGCCGGAACCATTCCCGCTGAAGTCTGCTACGTGCAATTTAAACAAACGTTCCTGGCCGGAACGGTTCCGGCACCTCGATCCCCGGGAACCGAACAGGCCCTTAGTGTGTTGTGGAGGCCGGAGACTGGGAAGAGAAGAAAGCTAGGGTTCGAAGGTTTTATACACGTCAGGACGTATCTCCGCCGTCCATCTGATCGGACGGTCGAGTAGACACAGAAGATATTGGGCCTCCAGGTCTTAGCAGGCCAGTTTCCAGTTTTGGGTAGAAT